TAATTACAGATGATTGAAATGGGAAAGGTACAAAGAGGAAGGATCAATAGTTGGAAAATACAGCCTTGGGGATAGAAATGATGCTGAAGATTGCATGGTAGAATTTTGTAAGACTAATGACTTCTACATTGCAAATTCCTTTTTTAAGCAAAATAAAAGATGACTATTCTGTGGTACATAAGGTTGCTATGAGTTGGTACCGACTCGATGGCACTTAACAACAACAACAACAATACATATGGACCTCACCGGGTGGAAAGCAAAGGAAACAAATTGACTACATCTATGGGAAGAGACAGTTGAAAAGTTCAATATCATCAGCCAAAACAAGGTCAGAGGCCAAACTGTGGAACAGATCATCAATTGCTCACATGCAAGTTCAGACTGAAGCTGAAGAAAATTAAAACAAGTCCACGACAGTCAAAATATGACCTTGAACATAATCCACCTGAATCTAGAGACCATCTCAAAAACAGATTTGATACATTAGACACTAATGACAGAAGACTAGAAGAGCTGTGGGGTGACATGAAAAGCATCATATAGGAACAAAGCAAAAGGTCATTAAAAATACAGAAAAGAAAGAAAAAAAGGATGTCAGAAGAGACTCTGAAACTTGCTCTTCAGTGTAGAGATGCTAAGAACATTGTAAGAAATAAGAAATTAACGAGCTGAACAGAAAATTTCAAAGGGCAGCTCGAGAAGACTAAGTCAAGTATTATAATGAAATGTGCACAGACTTGGAGTTTGAACACCAGAAGGGAATAATACACTCAGCATTTCTCAAGCAGAAAGAATTAAGAAGTGAGGGGAGACGCACAAGAATGCTCAAACTTGCAGACAGTGTCCATTTGACCTAGCTTTGATGACTTGAAGATCACAACTCCACTAAAAGAAGATAAAAAAAAAATTGATAAAGGAAACAAATATAAATTGCTACAAATTTGATTAACTTGACCTACACTTATGGATGGAGTAGCTCAAAATACCAACTGAGTGGGAAGAAGTCTTCATCCTACTCTCTCTGTATGTAGGGGTGATAGGGACAAGCAACTTAGACATTAGCTACCTAAAATGGGGGTGCTATAAAGGAATGAAGTGACTAGCTTATAAATTTTCAAGAGGGAGTTTAGTTTCTGAGTGTGAAGGGGATGGTAGAATCCCCACTGAATAGTTTTCATCTTGACTAGACAGGTTTGGTGAAAGGAGGTGGGGATAAGATTCTTATGATTCAGTAGTGAGTAGTTGTTTTCATGACTAATTGCGATTGTTACAACTGTAAAGGTAGAAGTTTTGTAGCATAAAGGGGAGAGTAGTTAATCTTACATTCCAGGAACAGAGGACCATCAAGGGAGAAGAGCTTGAGTGGAATGTGGAACCCTATCCAGAGAAGCAGGGATACAAGAGATGGAGGCAGAGATGAGGATATGGGCGATAGAACAGCTGAGAACTCTAAGACTCATGGAAAGAGAAGACTGCGGCCAGAAGGCAGGCTTGCAGAATGTGCCTTTTGGTTGTTTAAATGATTATAAATTCCTGAGTGTTTTGGTGTACATTTCCTCCCTCAAATAAATAAATAAATAAACAGAGGGAATAGAAGCAAATACTGTTGAATGATAATGCAAGGAGGGGATTTTAATCATTGCAATGAAACAATGAGTGTAAATCCGATATTCTTCCATGTAAACTATCATCCCATTTACAATAAAAAACAAAACAAAATAAAAAACTTAAATCTTCAAAAAAGAAAAAAAAGAACTGCAGAAAAATTCAGTCCTCAATTGCAATATTAAAGGATTCTAAGGGTAAAATACTGAAATATGCAGAAAGCATCAACAGAAGATTGAGAGAATATACAGTCACTGTAGCAAAAAGAATTGGTCGATGTTCAACCATTTCAAGAGGTAGCATACGATCAAGAACTGACAGTACTGAAGGAAGATGTCCAAGATACACTGAAGGCATTGGCAAAAAACAAGGCTTCAGGATCCGATGGAATACAAATTGAAATCTTTCAACAAACTGATGCCAAACTGGAGACAATCTCATCTGTGCCAAGAAATTTGGAAGACAGCTGCTTGGCCAAATAGTTGGCAGAGATCAATATTTGTGCTTGTGCCCATTTCAAAGATAGGTGACCCAACAGAATGCATAAATAATTGAACAATAGCATTAATATCACATGCAAGCAAAATTTTGCTGAAGATAATTTAAAAATGGCTGCTATAGTACATTGGCAGAAAACTGCCAGAAATTCAAGCTGGATTCAGAGGGGACGTGCTGATATTAGATG